CCTAACACCTTCTCCCGGGTTAACAGAATTCCTTATCCGGATTTCTGGTACGCAGACTGTAATATGGAGTCATTCTTTTCCTCGATTCGGGATTAAAATTGGTGACTTGGGACACCCTAAATCTCCCAAGTGGCGACTCTGAAATAAATAAACCAATCCCGTTTCGATTGTCCTTTAATTGGAAAAAACTCCTTTGTACCCCCCGGGTGCGTAAAAAGGAGGTGTGACAAGGGGTAGGTAGTTAGATTTCTCTCAGATATGTAACAATCATAGTCCGTCTGCTAGGCCCGACAGGGGACGACCCCGGCAGACGGAGGGACTAACTGTATTGGTCAAAATCTGACCGCTACGGTCAATCCAGTCGACATCTCGTCCAAGTGGCGAAGCATTGAAAGCCGACATGGTTTATTTCAAATCCAGTACTCACCATACCCGCCAAGTCAAAAACAACGCTTAGGGGACGACGGAGGCAGACGTAGTATGAAAGTTTATCAAACCAAGGACATAACAAAGATTCCCTAACTATATATATGGGGTAAAAATCTTCTAAAAGGGGGACTTCTCTCTCTCTCTTTCCTCTCCTCTATAACCTTCATAGTAGAATGAAGAACAAAGCAATCTCCAAGAGAATATGTAAAATGGCTTCCTCCATTGATTANTCTCCTATGTAACCTTCATAGTAGAAGGAAGAACAAAGCAATCTCCAAGAGAATATGTAAAATAGCTTCCCCCATTGATTAATGGGAGACAAAATGAAAAGTATCAATAAGATCGATTACCTCTATCTCAATCTTATGCATTATTTTTCGATTAGTTTATAGATCTGCAGTTTATTATGTTTAACTAAGATTTACCCCTTTATTGTATCTATTGATTTAGTCGAAAAGGTTTCTACCATCTTTTTGGTCAAACAATTCTGACATGTATTAATTTAATTATGTGCCATGTTTGGTTCTAATAAAACATGTTCATTTTCCTTCCGTGAATACCTATACCAAATATTTATACTCAATCATATGATTTGCCTAGATTGAGATGATCTTTTACTTAATACTATGATTAGTGATTAAGCTTCGTGTTAAAAAAACATATGTCATATGTTTATTGGTATCAAATCAAACATAAATGTAAGTAGGAGTGACAAACGATCGGGTCGGGTCGGATATAGTTCGGGTTGAAAATGGGTAATGAAAAAACGGATCAATTATCCGATCCGACCCATATTTAATACGGATAAAAAAAGGATTAACCGGCGGATAATATGGGTTACCTATATTATCCATGACTTCTTGTATATGATCACTTTTGAGAGAATTCTTAGTCTCTCTAACTTGAGGAACCCCCAATTTGAGGCTTTACAAATGTAAAAATTAGACCCATTGGTTATCCATTTTCTAAATGGATAATATGGTTTTTATTCATATTTGACCCTTTTTTAAAAAGTTCACTATCCAACTCATTTTTTATTCGATAACATGGGTGGTTAACTATTTTTTCTTTGAACTATTTTGCTACCCCGAAATGTATTTTGTGTGTCGCGCACTTTGAAATTAAAAAAAGAAAATGAAACCAGAAGGCCTATGATTTTAGAACTGGGAAGATGTTCTTTTTATCCTTAGGACCTCATCTTCTTCAAAGAATAAAAAATAATCCCATAAACTTTTCATAGAAGATAAAGATTCGAACTCCTTTTTTGGCCAGGCTAGTGAACACATGACTTCATTCGTTTAATCGTAGCTTTTAGTTGAATGTAATTATTTTCACATTAAAATAATGCACATGATGTACTAACTAATTGCTGTGGGGTCAAATGTGTGAATAATTGTGAAATAAAATAATAGAAATGGGGAGAAAGAGAAAAAGTGAGAGGAAATAGAAGGCCTTAATGCAATTTTACACCGACGACTCGTGGCCTGTGGAAGCGTGCCACAAGCCACATTAAACTATCACTTGGATTTTATTTCCTGTTTTATCTACATTTAAAATATGACAAAAATAAAACAAGCCCTTTTTTATTTTCTGGACGTAAAGAAAATTGTGATTTGGATAGTGAATACTCTCACATTGTTAAGTTGAAGGCAAAATACTATTTTCCTTTTGTTTTCCCCAATAGAAACTAGAAAGTAATCCCTTTAAGGGTTTATATTTCTGTTAAAGGTTAAAAAGAGTAAAGAATAAGAGCACAAAGAGAAATATAGTTAAAAAAGGATAAAAATCACTTTTAGCACGCGACGTGAATTATTTATATTTGATAATCATAAAAGTATATAAAATTAATATACTTTTTATATATAACATAGTATATCAATATATATATATATATATATATATATATGTATATCTGATTATTATTTTCATAGGGGCTATACAATATTATTTTTTCAAAGAAGAGGCGTAGAAAAATTGACATTTTCAAAGGCAAAGGAATCTTCCAATAAAATTTTAACATAAAAACAAAGTAGCGAATAAATAGATAATTTTGACCTAATCAATATTCATTTTTATTGCCATTCTCTTCTCCTTATAAGAACGAAAAAAATACCATAACGCGAACCAGCCCAGCTTTTTCAGCTCCATGTGTTGTGCCGCAGCTTAGGCACTGCTTAGCATTTGAATAATCTCCTCTTCTCTCTCTCTCTCTCAATCATTCCCCAATTCTCAATTCATAAATCCATCCCCATATCTTCCTTCTGTTTCTCTGTTATCTTCTTCGTCACTATCATCTTCATCTTCATCTCTGTTTTGTTTTTTTCTTCTAGAAATTCGGCACACAACCCTAGGAAATACACATCATAATTGTTTGAATGGTTGTGATCTGAAATTTTGGTGTTATATATAAAGACATAAAGAGAGTCATGTATAGTAATACCGCTCGCAAATACTCTTCTTCTGCCGCTTCTTCACTCTTGAGAAGAGCCTCTTCTTCTTCCGTTTCTAGACCAGTAGCTTCCTCTTCTGCTGCTGCTCACGCGCCTTCGTCTTCTTCACTCTGTAATCAGCAGCAGCGTTTCTCCTCCACGTTCCGGTCTGTGAGGTGCTCGGTGCCGCGGTGGAGCCACGGTATTGATTGGAAGTCTCCGATCAGTCTTACTGCTCAGATCAGGACCGCCGCCCCTGCTCTCAACAGCTTCCACCGAAAGCTCTCTACCATGGGTACTTTTGTCTTTTAATCCTAGATTTGTTTTCTGGGTAATTTTGTCAATCTGAAAAAGTAAATCGAAAGAATATGCTTTCTTATATTGACATGTAAAATTATAATTTAGCCTATTATAACAAGTTATTAAATAGAATAAATATATTTTACATTGTTAGTGCACAAAACTTTAATCCTATTTTTAGTAGTAATAAATAATAGGAGTAATACACATTGTGACAAAGGTTAGTGGAACGTGGGTGGTAGGGTCGATGAATGGGAAGACTTTTGAAGTTGACTTAAGATATTTATCATTTGTGTTTGTGGTTAGGTATTTTCATTAAAAAAACATAAAAAAACTACTATTTATTTATGCGTAATAGTGCTACTAAGAGCTGCTGTAAGTGAATGCGAATCAATTCTCAGTAGAAAAGCAAGAAGAATCTGATTCTTTTTTGTGTTGATGATGGATTCAGCTGAAAAGAACCCATTTAAGGAAATCCTCACTGCTCTTCCAAAGCCTGGAGGTGGTGAATTCGGAAAGTTCTATAGCCTACCTGCTCTCAACGATCCCAGGATTGGTAAACTTTAAGACCCTCTGATACTTTCTATTTTTATTTTTTAGCAGACCTGATTATTTTCTTAGATTGAATGTTGATCTGTATCTTTCTCATCAGTTTGATTATTGACTTTTTCTTGGTCTGTTGATTTGTATATAACAGAGAAGCTACCATACTCTATTAGGATTCTTCTCGAATCAGCAATTCGTAATTGTGACAACTTTCAAGTGAAAAAGGAAGATGTTGAAAAGATTATCGACTGGGAAAATTCTGCACCTAAGCTTGTGGAGATACCCTTCAAGCCTGCCCGTGTGCTGCTGCAGGTACTAGTCTTTTGCATGTCTTGAACATTAAAAAAAAGAATGCAGTGTGAGATGACAGGCGGTTTTCACCTGAACAATTCTCTTGTTTGACAGGATTTTACTGGTGTACCCGCTGTGGTGGACCTTGCTTGCATGCGTGATGCCATGAACAACCTCGGCAGCGATTCTGACAAGATCAATCCATTGGTATGCGCTGTTTCTAGTTAGTGCATTATGGCAAAGTTTCTTTAACTAATTGAAATTGTGAATAGAATGCGGTATAGTCACTTGATGAATAAAGCACACAAATTTTCTGTCTGGCACTCTGGCAGTCGTTGTCAATACTGCAGTTTGACTAAAGGTAGAGGAAAACTGTCAGTTGCGTTTGTAATACTTTTGATAAGTCAAATGACTTTCATCTACTGAGTTGCTTATATTAATCTCGTTCATGAACATTGAATTGCATTATGCTATTAGTATTGTGTCACAATATCAGCTTATTCATCAGACAATTTTATGCTTCAATTCCTTGGTTATAGTTCTTTTCATATTCCTCTCATGAATGAATCTTTTTCCACTTAATGATAATTCTTTTTCTCGAATATTATTTCAGGTTCCTGTTGACCTAGTTATTGATCACTCTGTTCAAGTTGATGTGGCAAGGTCAGAAAATGCAGTCCAGGCTAATATGGAGCTTGAATTCCAAAGGAACAAGGAGAGATTTGCCTTTCTTAAGTGGGGATCTAATGCTTTCCACAACATGCTTGTTGTTCCACCTGGGTCTGGTATTGTGCATCAGGTATTGGTCATGAAAACTGAATGTCACTTAGCTGGCTGTGCTGCTGGATTTGTTGAATGTGTGAATAGTTGTGCTGGGTTCTAGCTATTTCTTGAATCCTGAATTTTTAACGTTGTATTTCTTACTTATCTTCAGTCTTTAGCTTAAATGCAGTGAGATTCCTGGCTTTGCTCTCCTTATATATCCTCTGAAACAACACACTTGCAAAGCTGATAATAGTTTTTGGCTCCATAATTTTAGGTCAATCTTGAATATCTTGGAAGGGTTGTCTTTAATAGGGATGGGTTTCTCTACCCAGACAGCGTGGTCGGAACAGATTCCCACACAACCATGATTGATGGGCTAGGAGTTGCTGGCTGGGGCGTCGGAGGTATTGAAGCTGAAGCTGCTATGCTTGGCCAGGTATGCAACTATGAGTGGTGTAGTAATCCTTCTATCTCTTGCTGAATCCTGGTTTATCCGTGTGTTGTTGCAAAGATTAGACAGCTATGGCTTTATGCTAAGGTGTCACACATTGCTCTTGTGACCGTGTTAATGTCTGCATTTTGCCAAATATTTTTTAGTGGAGAATATGCATTAACTTGGTGACTGGCACATGTGGAAGTTAACGGAGGGACATCAATCAGCATATAAAGTTGCAAGAGCTTTATGATTTGATGTGTCTATGTTATTCTTGCTTTGTTTCAAAGTACATGTCAACATTGCGCTTTTCATTCTCAAAACAAAAAGGTCAACATTGTGTTTTTAGTTTATTCAAATAGTCTATACCGATGAAAACACGGGACTTACAATTACTAATTGGCAATGCTGTTCTTGACTATCCTATCAATTATAAAATAAAAGTAATATGTCAGGACATCTTTTCTCCTTATTAGACGCTAAACGTTACATATTTTAAACTCTCCCCTACATAAACGTGATGCAAATCAAGGGAGTAGAGTTTTGTTTTTACACTTATACGCTAGATTAGAGAGGAGCATGATAGTTGATTACTTAGGACTTTCCCTTGCCTCATTTATCTGACCTTGTAGTCCTTCTTTCCTTACATATGGGTTTTCATTGCATCCACTGACCATATTTGGGCTCTTCCCGAAATTCTGTGTATTCCTGATTCCTGAAAGCATGTTTTGGTGATTCGTGAATCCATCCAAATAAAAAGGTTATTCATGAATCTTCATGTAGTTAGTGCAATCAACTAGTTTTGTGGCTTCATACCCTATTTGACAATAATGAAAGACTACATATCATTTATTCTTGAAAAAGTTGGAAGGTGAGATGCGATTCTCACTTTGCCAGAAAAAAAGTTTTGGTTATATTTTTTCCATTCAGCATTTAGTACATATAGCTGCTATCTTCCCAAAAATCGGATCAAGCCAGAATAGGATGTTACTTTACCTCCTCTTAGAATAGTATGCACTGTGTTCACTTAATCTGAGCGGAAAATGACATTGTCTTTCCTCTGTGTGTGCTGCTTGCCTGTTCTTCTGTTTGTTTTATATATGTGTAGAAAAAGAATAGCTTTCTAGGTAATTTTCACTTTAAATTGTGAGTTGTGACAAATACTTTGATATTGATTCTGATATTTGCACTTTGGATGGCAATTTTGTAAAACTTCTTCTGTATACTGACAGCCAATGAGCATGGTGTTGCCTGGAGTTGTCGGGTTCAAGTTATCAGGGAAATTGCGAAATGGTGTAACTGCCACTGACCTTGTCCTGACTGTCACTCAAATGCTCAGGAAGCATGGTGTTGTCGGAAAGTTTGTTGAATTCTATGGTAAATAATAAACATTGACTAAGTTTCCTATGCAAATAGTTCAACCAGTGTTTAATAGTTCCACCAGACAAGGGCTTGACTGTTTTGTTTTCATGTAGGTGATGGAATGGAAGGGCTATCTTTGGCTGACAGGGCCACCATTGCAAACATGTCTCCTGAATATGGTGCAACAATGGGTTTCTTCCCTGTAGATCATGTTACCCTGCAATATCTCAAGTTGACTGGGAGAAGTGATGAAACAGTGAGTGTTTAGACTTTTGCCTGTTTTAATTGAAGATTTGAGTGTGAAATTTCATCTTTATACGTGGCTAACCCCTCTACCTAAAAATTTAGATTGCAATGATAGAGGCGTATCTCCGTGCAAATAAGATGTTTGTCGACTATAATGAGGTTAGTTTTGTTTGCTGCCTCAATTGCGGTTACTCTAGTTTCGGTATGAGAATCTTATTTGGCAAATGAATGAAGGTTATGATCTAATCTATTGGCATAGTTGTTATGTTTCCTTACAATTTCTAAAAAACTATTGCCCTCTTTATTTCAGCCTCAACAAGAAAAAGTGTATTCTTCTTATTTGGACCTAGACCTTGTGAACGTTGAACCATGTGTGTCAGGGCCAAAGAGGTATGTGTTCCAGCTTGCATAAATTCTATATTAAGATACAAAATATACTATAAGGTCTATATAACATGTTTGTTTTCCTTTGTAGACCTCATGACCGTGTGCCTTTGAAAGAGATGAAGTCTGACTGGCATGCTTGCCTTGATAACAAGGTTGGATTCAAGGTGAGCGAGCTATTCATTTTGATTTCTCCATCTGTCCCATTTTATGTGGCATTATTTGATGGGCACAGAGTTGAAGAAAGAAAGAAAGAATGAAAGATTTTTGACACTTGTGATCTAAACCAAGCCATATACATTTGTGTGGCTAAAATCATCTCATTACAGATAAAATGAGAATTTTAAAGTTATTGTTTCTAAATATAGAAATGTGTCACTTTTTTGAACATACTAACAAGGAAAGTATGCCACTTAAATTGGGACAGGGGGAGTACCATTTAGTTTCCTCTTGGTTGATTAGGTTGTAACGTAAATTTATGACTATAAAGTATCCAAGGTCAGCTTCTCACTTCTGGAAATGCTGATGCAACTGGTTCTACTTTGATGCAGGGATTTGCTGTGCCAAAAGAAGTGCAAGATAAAGTAGCTAAGTTTGACTTTCACGGGCAACCTGCAGAGCTCAAACATGGCAGTGTTGTGATTGCTGCTATCACAAGTTGCACAAATACATCCAATCCCAGTGTTATGCTAGGAGCAGCTCTTGTTGCCAAAAAGGCTTCTGAGCTGGGTCTACATGTCAGTACTACTCTATATATTTGCATTTTTCTTTCTTCAAAGTTTTAGGCATGCCTTCTTAATCCTTGTTCCTGATGTATTTTCCAGGTTAAACCATGGGTTAAAACAAGCCTTGCTCCAGGCTCTGGTGTTGTTACAAAATATTTACTCAAGAGGTATTGATTGAAGTTTTCTAAAAGAAAAAGTTTCTACTAACCCTGCCCATTGTTATTTGAAAACATTCTAATATGTCATTTTCTGCATGAAACAGTGGGCTACAGAAGTATCTAAATCAGCAGGGTTTCAACATTGTTGGCTATGGCTGCACCACTTGTATCGGTAATTCTGGGGACTTGGACGAATCTGTTGCTTCTGCCATATCAGAGAATGGCAAGTCCATACAATTGATTTTATTTTGTGATTGCATTGGCTGGAGTCTGTCTAGGACATGATCAGTTCGCTATATTGTTTGACTAATTCAAAATGTTATAATGCAGACATTGTTGCTGCTGCTGTACTCTCCGGAAACCGCAACTTTGAGGGGCGTGTTCATGCCCTGACAAGAGCAAACTATCTTGCTTCACCTCCTTTGGTGGTTGCCTATGCTCTTGCTGGCACGGTATGTAAATGCACTTAGAGTTATATAATTAATTTATCCGGAGAATTACCTTTAACACAATGTTATTCTTTATAGTAAGTGAAAGGATGAAAGAACATACTTAAAGTTTATAAAAAGGGATTATGCTTTATAGTAAGTGAAATGCTGTAGAAACATACTAGATTTCTTGCGGTCATAGATGATTTGGCAGTGGAGTGCTGAACTGGTTGGTGGCAATGTTGAGCAAGTTTTATGGAATATCAAAGCAGCTTTAAATAAATTATCTTTTTATAGCTATGTCAATTGGATCTTTCATTTATCTTGTCCTACAAGTGTGACATTGGATTGGGTACTTTGGTGTGGATTCTTCAAAATAAACTTAAACTTAGAAAAATTATAAAGCTGTTTGGGATACTCGTAAGCACCGTGTCAGCAACGTAGTCATATGCCCTATGTTGCACGGACTCTCCAAAATAGCTGCCGTACCCGTGTCAGATCCTCCAACAATGCACTATTTTTGGAGGATCCTCCACGCACCAATCGATATTTTCGGAGAGTCCGAGCAACATTAGTCAGGTTCATGTAAATTAGAGTTAGAGACAATTGCTTTTGCTGAATCATCAAATCTCTAAAATGAGGATAGGAACTTTAAAGCCTAAAAGACATAAAAAAAATGAAGCTTTAAAAGTGACAAGTGTTTGATTTCTGACATTAAAGCCCCCTTTTTGAGTGAGTGCTTTCAGTGGTAGGTCACGGTTAGCATTCCTGTCTTGTGCATCTTGCATCAGGCAGGGCTATTGGTGGCTTAACTAGAATGTGTTTAGACATGACTCAGCCTGGTGCAAGCTGCATTGCTCCCAGGAGAACAAATACAACAGAAAACAGGATTCCGTAACTAGACACTCAATTGAATTTCTTGCACATTCTGACCTTGGTCTTGGTCTCCGATATTGTAAAAAATATTCATGGTTTAATAGGTCAAAATTGATTGTTGATTATCCTGTGTACTTATGTCGGTGATGGATTTGCTTTGCAGGTTGATATCGACTTTGAGAAAGATCCAATTGGGGTGGGAAAGGATGGTAAGGATGTGTACTTCAGGGATATATGGCCATCAACTGAAGAAATTGCTGAGGTATGTATTCAGTGATGTGCTTATGTACCCATGATCAATTACAAACAGAGTAAATTTACCATGGAACTTTCCATGTTAGGTTGTTCAATCAAGTGTATTGCCAGACATGTTCAAGAGTACTTATGAAGCTATTACAAAGGGCAATACCATGTGGAATGAATTATCTGTACCAACAGCAAAGCTGTACTCATGGGATCCTAATTCTACATACATTCATGAGCCACCATATTTCAAGGGTATGACCATGGATCCTCCTGGGCCCCATGGAGTGAAGGATGCCTACTGCTTGTTGAACTTTGGTGATAGTATTACCACGGATCACATTTCACCTGCTGGAAGCATTCATAAAGATAGCCCAGCCGCTAGGTACCTTATGGAGCGCGGTGTCGATCGCAGGGACTTCAACTCATATGGTAGCCGTCGTGGTAACGATGAAATTATGGCTAGGGGTACTTTCGCCAATATCCGCCTTGTGAACAAGCTGTTGAATGGGGAAGTTGGTCCAAAGACAGTCCACATTCCCACAGGAGAAAAACTCTCTGTGTTTGATGCTGCAATGGTACTATCCTTTTTCTGTTTTTTAATGTTCAAAATCCTATTTTTGTCAAAGATACAGTTTGCATTGTGCATGCCTATTAGCTACAGCAGACAATTACTTGAGATCTTTGCTGATTTATATTAACACTTCTTAAACACATGATGTCTTAGAAATACAAATCTGCTGGGCAAGACACTGTTATCTTGGCTGGAGCTGAATATGGAAGTGGAAGCTCCCGAGATTGGGCTGCCAAGGGCCCAATGTTGTTGGTGGGTTTCTTGAGCATTGCTTCTTGACTTGGTTGATTCCGTCTTTTTCTTTTTTACCATAGAATTTCCTAATTAACGAATAATTTAACAGGGAGTTAAAGCTGTAATTGCTAAGAGCTTCGAGAGGATTCACCGCAGCAACTTGGTAGGAATGGGTATCGTGCCTCTATGTTTTAAGGCTGGGGAGGATGCAGATACACTTGGATTGACAGGTCACGAGCGATATACCATTGATCTTCCAGAAAATATTAGTGAGATCCGCCCAGGTCAAGACGTTGCTGTACGAACAGATACTGGAAAATCCTTCACTTGCATAGTGCGGTTCGACACCGAGGTGCGTCTCACATTATCGGTCTCTTTTGTTTTCAGTTCTTATATCCTGGCGTTTCTTTGTGTTAAAGATGTTGCTGTGGCTATTGGGTTGCATGATAAAGATGCTTCCTTTTTGACGGTGTTTGAGTTTCTTGTACCTTTATACAAGTCTTTGCCTAGAGTGCTGAAGGAAAGGCGAAGAACAAAAGGAAAATAAAAGAATCTGAGCAAACACCTTATCAAAATTTAGAAATCTGAGCAAGCATACTAAGGAATTAAATTTACTCTTAAAGCTATCTTTGCGAAATTGGGACACTTAAATTTGGGTCTTTTTACTGAACTTGGATGAAGGATGTCAATATCTTTTCTTTTTTGGGTTAAAACAACTTGTTCAGATGTGGAAAGCAACAGGCCCAAATAGGATAAAGAAGGTTCAAATAGCCAACCCTAACTAGTTTGGGATTGAAGCGCCGTCGTAAGATAGGATGTCATGATCCAGAATATCTAACTAAAAGGAGTGTGTTGAAAATTAAGAATCGTGGACAGTAAATCATGGTCTACTGGATTGCGACTTGTCACATGGAGCTACATGGATATTGAGGATTCATATAGCTAATCCACTAGTTTGGAATTGGGGGTGTAGTAGTAGTGAATATTGATTATTGTTGTATGAACAGTAAATCATGGTGCATCTTTTGTAGTAATCAATGTATACATATAAAATTATTGAACGACGTATATAGGTGAAGGACATATAGGTGTATATGTATAAAATTATTGAACGATGACATGTAGGTGAAGGACAAAATTAGGATGTCTTTCATCACCCTCAAAAGAGGAGGAAAAACGTTTTTATCTCTTCGTATATTAGCTTGAATGCTCGATTCTGTTACTATCATATCACTTTTAGATCACATAAAGCGATATGATATGATCTCCATAAATTCTGCATGCATTGTTGGATGTAGAATAAACTGTCACAACAGTATGAGATCTCCTGTATAAATTCTTCATCATTCATTATTTTTTGGTAAGATATTGACATTTAAGAGCTTCTTCTATCTTGTGCAGGTGGAGTTGGCTTATTTCAACCATGGAGGTATTCTGCCATATGTCATTCGTCAGTTGACTAAGCAATAAGGGACCGCTTTGATTATTTGGCCACCTTTACGAGCTGCTTAATTGCGGGAAGATGACAGCAGAAAGAGAGCTTCTCATTAGAGAATCTTGAGAAGGGAATAAAGGATTTTAAAACTTTTTATGTCCCTGTTGTCGGGCAAAGTGTTGTTTATTTACTTCGGGAAGCACTGAAAATGGCAATCTTTTGCCAACAGATAGCAACATACCATTTTTTGGTAATAAAATTTATATTATGATTGTGTTTTAGCAAGGATTATTTGAAGCTTCTTGGTGAGAATCACAGGTACTATTCGGTAGTTTAATTTTTTGTTATTTTATTTTTCGGATTCTGTTCTTTAGTTTTTTTTTGAAATTGTGGGCTTTTTGCATTTCCTTTAGTGGTAGCTGTTGCTTTAATGCTCATAGGTGAATGTATCTGTGAATAAGATCGTTTCTCCCAAGTTGTACATTAGAGTAAGTGTTTCTTTTGTCATGAAAAGTTTCACTGTTTCATCTGGTTTGTGAACCCTGGACCTTATGTTTACCTCTGAGCTGTCAGACTGAGGTTTAAACTATGCTGTTAATATTTGCTGGGAAATTCTAATAGTTCAGAAATTGAAACGGGGGCAAAGAAATTCGTTAAAATGTTCAATCTCCTATAAATATAGGTACATAGACCCTTACTGACAAGGGAAACGATCATGCCACTCCGCCTGCAAGTAATCCGTGGGATGTTATTTGGTACCACTTCACAATTTTATCTTATTTTATGCGTACTAATATATAATATTCATTAAAAAACTTTATATGCATTTCTTGAAAATAATACAAAGTAAATAGTGATCTGTGACAAGATAAAGCAAAAACCAGCAACAGAAACCAGACCTTCCTAAAAGTTGAATTGTCTCGAACGGTTTTGCAGAATCTAGGATACAACGGTGCTCTCGGTCTCGCAATATTTAAAATTTTGAGATCAGTTTAATACCAACCGGTGTTAACAGAGAAATAATAGCCTGTTTGACTAAACTTCTAAAATCAGCTTATTTTGAAAAATGTTTTTCTAAAAAGTATTTTTGGTGATAAGCAATTTGTGTTTGACTAATTAAATTTGAAAAACACTTTTGAGGCGTAATTAATGTTTGGCCAAACTTTAAAAACTGTAAGTGTATTTTTCTCAAAAATACTTCTTTGAAAAGTGCTTTTGGATAGAAACTATTTTTTTTTTCTTCTCAAAAATTGCTTTCGCTTCTCCTCAAAAGCACTTTTTTTCTTTCTAAAAGTTTGGCCAAACACCTCAATTTTTGAAAGAAAAGAACACTTTTGGCCCAAAAAAAAGGCTTGGCCAAACAGGCTAAAAGTTCCCCTTTGCACAAACCTGCAATATATTAAATTTTGCAAATTTATCTTTTCCACTGAATGTCGCCTAAGGAACAGCTCTGCAAAAATAAGTTCGCTAGAAAATTGAGTCTTAAGTTGAAGGGTGGATTAGTTAATCCTTCGTTGATTTGGGAGGATTTGAGAATACCTGTTCTGCTTTTAGGATTGCAAACATGTGTACACACAGAGGCCAAGTAAAAACACACTAGCATTAACAAAGAAGTAGTTTAGTCTTGCTATACTTTACAGGATTTTTCAACACTTTTACAATGATACAATCTCATCGACAGAGAGAGAAGAATCTAGAATCCAGATACTCGACTTCACAAAATTTTGGCTTCAAAATTATTAACAAAAAGTTCATTTTATAATTGAACATATATATTATCCAGAAACGAATTGAGAATTGATAATTAATCGGTTCAGAATGAGTCTAATTTATTTATGTATACACACAAGCATAGAGTTTTTCCCATATGTATTTATGAATTGATCGAGCTGAAAGTAACGATCGAGCTGAAAGTAACGAGTTTTAATGAATCCACTGAACCAACTTTGAGTAATACGATCTTGATGTATATGTCCATGTATACGCATCAGTTTCGCATAAAATCTGAAATTAACATCAACAAAATTCTGAATATATCAAGGAATCCCTCCCTAAACCCCTCCCGCACCAAAGAAAAAAAAAAAAAAAGATATAAAGAAAAAACTAACCTTTAGACTGTGCTCATTCAGAGGGATATATATAACCAAATATTAACAACCTCAATCTGTTACCACAACAAGATTTAGAAGAAAAAAATAGGAGGAAATATTCAGAACATTATTAGTGGTCCTCTGGAATACACTCAAGAGTTGGCCTCCAATTTGTGCTACTACTTATTTTTTCAGAAAATCCATCGTGAAGTAATCTTCTTCTGCTGCTTCTTATTCTTCTACCTCTACTTTCTGACTTTATTTTTCTTAAAAATTCATCTGCTGAGGAATAATTAAACTGCCCATTCAATATTTGCATCAATTCTTCTTGTGTCACGACTAGCCTAATCCTTACCACACCTTTTCTCATCATTTCTTGGCCCTCTTCTCTGTCATCATCTACTCTAAATCTAACACTTTTTCTTCTCTTATTAATGCTTTGTTCCTTTGCCTTTTGTGCTTCCTCAATTGGTGTCTCAACTTTCTCTTCATTATGAACTAGAAAATCAGCTTTACTATATTTCATGCAATTTCCCATTTGGGTTTTTGGAGATATTTAGAAAGAAAAAAGAAGATGACTATTAGAGTTTTTGTGAAGAGAAGAAGAGGTGGTGGAGGTTAGAATCTTGAAATATAAAGAGATGGAGGAGGGAAGGAGCACATGGAGTTGCCGGCTGTTTCGCCTTATTTTTGGAAGAACAAAAACTATGCTTTATACATTAATTGAAACTACGGAGTCAAAATTTGAAGTTTATAGATTCAGAATTTTAATCATTTTAGTTACTACGTTCTAAATTGATAATAATTCATATATATATTTAATTAATTTTTTAAAACAAATATAATATTTAAACTAAAGTTAATGAATTCGATCAAACTCGTAACCTACGCACTAGCTCCACTCCTTACAACTACCAAATAATACTCCTTGATTAGAAAGAGAGATTTGTTTAGTTTATAACAGTGAGCGAATATTCACTTAAATTCAAGTAAGAAATGCGGTTTTGTTAGCATCATATAACAAACACATGTTAAAAGGTTGGTCGAAGAACAACAATAAATAAAATATAGGTATCGGCCTGTGGCGGTTGCAGTTGATCAAAATCACCACCTGTGTAGAGATCTCTTTATTATAAATGTAGGATACTTAATTCAACAAATTAGAATTGTTTGCGTCAGCCCAAAAAACTTTATATAATTTAGGCTATTGTAGTAAGACACAATGTATGGGAGAGGGTCGGTGAAGCGAGGGTGACGATGACAGTGTCTGTATCCGACAATCAGTTCGAATTCATGTCGGGTTGTTCTACCACAGAAGCTATACACCTTGTTAGGAGGTTGGTGGAATTGTATAGAGAGAGAGAAGGATCTGTACATGGTGTTTATTGACCTAGAGAAAACGTATGACAAGGTTCCTAGAGAAGTTCTCTGGAAATGCTTAAACTACTAGAAATCCGGAAAAAAACAACCAAAGTTGGCTGCTTACAGGTCAAAATGCGACAAAAAATCGTCCAAACTGGCTTGGTCACTATTTTGCTGGTCCCTTTACCTTAGAGACCAAAGTTGGTCGCTAAGGTAAAAGGACCAAATATTCCGGGTTTTAAATATAGAGACCAATTTTGGTCGCTTTAGTATTTTAATAATATAAATTTAGCGACCAAACTTGGTCTCTATATTTAAATTACGTTATTTATTTATTATTAATCAAAATATAGCGACCAACTTTGGTCTGTAAACCAAATATTATATTTTAAAATCTGGAAAATAGCGACAAAAGTTGGTCGCTTTTTTTTAATTTTTTTTAAACATAAGCGACCAAAATTGGTCTCTATATTTAAATTACGTTATTTATTTATTATTAATCAAAATATAGCGACCAACTTTGGTCTGTAAACCAAATATTATATTTTAAAATCTGGAAAATAGCGACAAAAGTTGGTCGCTTTTTTTTAATTTTTTTTAAACATAAGCGACCAAAATTGGTCGTTTTTCTGGGTATAATTTTGGCAGAAACTGCCTGTTTTGGCAGCTACACCACCTGCCAGCATACCAAATTCCCTATTACAAGCAACAACAACAACAATACCAACAACAACAACAACACAACAACAACAATAACATTAAAACCAACAAACTATAAAGTTCAATAAAACTAACACATTAAGCTAACAAAACTAAGTTAACGCTTATTACAAGCCCATTCGAAAACTGGTTCTATTGTCTAGTTCAAAGTATATAAAGTACTCAAGGAGTGTTCTTTCAGCATACTCGTCTGAAAGTTAGATTGCCTCGCCCGACTAATTAGGTGGCTGACTGCGTATGAATTCCTCCACGTCAGCTGTGAAGCGAACCTATAAGAAAAATTATATTGAATTAGTATTTCAAAATTTATATAAAAGTAAATCAAAATAATTAATGAAAAGTAAAAAATTTACATTTATAGTCGAGGCTCGACCCTTGACCCACCTTTCTGGATTAGTCTCTTTCTTCTTCTTTACAATACAAGTCTCATTGAATAGCTCATCTTGCTTCATTGGCATCATAAAGCTGTCTGGTGGCTTTGGTGATTATCCTCGTGGTACTATTACTCAGAATGAACTTGGATACAAAGAATAACTTGGATACAGTACCTGACAGGGTGTGTCTTTGATCAATTGTTGTTCTCATTAGCGACAATGATGATGAGAAGGCAATGACATGTGTTTCAAACAGTGATGGTGTAGGTAGGAATTTAACATCTCCTAAGCAGATAAAAGAAGAGGTTATAGAGGAATTCTCTACTTCATTTTCCAAGAGGAAAGTAAGTTTAATTGAGAGTGACAAGGTTGATGGTAATGGAAAGTTGTCCGTTGTTCATGGCAATTCACATAAAACGGGGATCATAAGACTCTGCGAAGACAAAGACGAAAGGAAGTTTTATTCTCAACTTTCTTCCAAGTCTGATCCGTACAAGCTTAATGGGATTGGTGATATTTCTTCGGATTCAGACAATGATTTGAGTGATAAAAGTATGGAAATGCTAATCAAAAGAATTAAAGGTAAACCATTTTTCTTGGAAGAGAAGGATGCTGAACTCTGCATGAACGTGATATGTGCACTTTATAGGCAACATATTTCTCCAAACTTCTCTTCCTTAGAGAAGCATTTTACCTTTAATTCTTTTGATTAACATTTCCATACTTTTGTCACTCAAATCATTGTCTGAATCCGAAGAAATATCACCAATCCCATTAAGCTTTTACGGATCAGACTTGGAAAAAAGTTGAGAATAAAATTTCCTTTTTTCTTTGTCATCACAAAGTCTTATGATCCT